AGGGGCCGGAGCCGCCCCAGGGACGCCCGGCTGGCTTGGAAACGCGGCAGCTGCCGGGGTCAGGGCAGCCTGTGCTCTGTGCGGCCGGCAGAGCCCCTGGCACCGTCCTCCCCGCGGGGCCGAGGCAGCAGGGGAGAGGAGCCAGCCTGGGGGCCCTCCCCGCGGGGAGCAGAGAGCGCGGCCCTGTGTGGCACCGAGCGCAGATCTGGGCTGGGATACAGCAGTGCAGGCCTGGCCCAGTGGCCCCCGGCCCAGCAGGGACCCCGGCTGCAGACCTGCCCTGTGCCGGCGGCCCACGAGAAGGTCCAACTTCCCTCAGGCCGCAGCAAGGTCCAACTTGCGCTCTTGGCCACTCTGCTGCAACTCTGGATGTAGACAGTTGTCGTGGCTCACAGTGGCCCCATTGTAGTTGCATCCGTGAACCCCAAGACTACTGTGGTTTTTGGCTTTTTTATTTCGTTCTGAAGCCCTGAGCCCGCAGGTAGTCACGGGAACTTCAGGGGAACCATTGTTGGCCTACAGTGCTCCCTGGCCTGAATGAAGGGTTTGGTCCTCCCTTAGGGTAGCCGTCATAGAGGGCATTCCGGTTTTCTTCTACTTTGTTCTCTGTTGATACAAAGCCCGGTGCCTTTATGTCATAAAGGGGTCTGGTTTCATATCAATAGAGGACTATCAGACTGTCCTCTACAATGGCCACCCTATCCTCCCTGCATGCTGCTGGTGGGCTCAGTAGCAGTCAGACTATAGGGGAAGGTATTGACCTTGCCCACAAAAGTTAATGATCTGACTCTGCTGTAAAGCAGTGGTTTTCAAACTTCAGGAAGTTGTTGAACCTTTTTCATATCAATTCTGGTGCAGAACCCCTACCCCTAACCTAAAGACTGATGCAGAGCCAAGCGACCTGGCATGGCAATGGCAGCTCACTGCTCCCTGGCTGCCTCCACCGCTATTCCCCATCTCTTTTGAGAGCCCCAGGTGAAGGATCATGGAACCCCACAGTTCCCTGGACCAGTTTGAAAAGCACTGCTGTAAGGTGTGAGATACAAGTGAAAAGTCAAAGACTGTTCACATTTTAAAGCAATACATAAGTGAGCAGGACATTTATTTATGCAGGTGCAGCAACAGTGCTAAAGCCATATTTGCCCCTTATCTAGAGCTCATTTGCTTTTCCCTAGGACATGGTTCCCTAACCATGCAACTCTTGGTTCTCTGAAAATGTGCTGGGTGCACAGTGCTTTATAAATGGACAGATTTCATTAGATGCCTAAGGAGTGAGTTAGTGGCCTCACTTTAAGAACTTGGTTTAAAAAAATATTGGCCTAATGTTTTAACTTCATATTTTAGGCTAGGACTCCAGATCTGTGGGGCTATGAACTTATTTCATGTTCAGTATGATCTGATAAATCATTTATTGGCCTGAGTTACCTGTAATTACCTGAGTTACCTAAAGTGACACCAGGTAAGTGGTTAGCAGGGGGTAAATTCTACCTTAGTAAGGCCTGATTTTGCAGTGACAGAGTAAGAGCAGCTGAAAGCCAACGGTGCTTTCTTTGAGGACTGGAAGTGTAATTCCCATTGCAAGTTCAGGGATTTATAATATAGAGGAAGTTATTTGGACTGGCACTCAACACTGCTGAAAATTAGGGCACATATTCAGGTGACGTTAAGTATATAGGAACCTAATTGTATGTACCTGTTCTTGAACACTTTGTATTCTTCTCTCATTTATTTTTTTACAATTACAGCATGAAAATAAAACAAAGACTTAAAGGGGAAAACGTTCAAGCATTTTACTGCTTCCGTTGTTTACAGCGGTGTTTCATCCATGCTTTCATACTTCAAGGGTATTTTAATGTATCCTTTGGCTCAGCTTACCCCATTGTCTAGATGCCATGGCTGTAAAAATTAAACTAGGGCCCCAGTCTGAAGCCCTGAAGAATACTGTGTGGTACAACAATCAATTGTAGTCTCTCTTGCTGAGTGATTATATTGCATCATGCCATTGCATGGTGTTGTTGAAATATGCAGCTCTTTAAACAAGAAAGGGTATGTTATCAGGCTATAATATATATAAACACAAACATACAATTACTGTCTCAGAGCACCCAGAGTGGCTAGTGTGGTGCAAAAGGAGCTGCTGCAAAGGTTCCATCTGCATGTGTTGAAGAGTAAGGTAATTCTCTGTTCCATCTTTTTTTGACTCCGGTGGAGCTACAATCATTCGCATTGATAGTTTAAATCCATGAAATCAAGGACAGAACTGTCTCAGGTTCAAAGTGACATTTGTTCAATGTCAATTGAACAAATATGTGGTAGAGCTTGTTGCGGCTCCCTCATTAGGCAATGGGAGTTGTGTGTATTATTACCTGATTGTAATATTTTTTATCTATGACATATATCAGTGGTGTTCAGTTTATCTGGCCCTATGAGAGCCATGATAATTAACAATGCCATCTGTCTCCCACTGCCAAATTCCCTGACCTGTGGGCTGGATGAGATGGCTCCAAGCATTGGATTTGGTCCAGAGACTGATCCTGCATGCTAGATCAGGCCTGCGGCCTGACACTGCACCACTCATTCATCCCATAGATTGGCTCCACACCATTCATCCCTGGTTTATAATTTGGCTGCCGTAAAGCTAATCCGGATTTACACTGATGCAAGACAAAAGACTGAGAGTCATTTTTGGCCTAGGAAAGGAAGGTTTAACACTATTATGACACTCTGTCTTTAACAGGATACCATGTCCAAGCAATTTCCAATTTTCAGGGAATATTCTAGGCATCAGTGGGCTAAGTCCCATTGATTTTGGTGAGCACTGGAAAATCAGGAGGAGGAAATGAGGAATGATGCACAAAACCGTTGGCATCTGGTTAGCAGACCCAGGCCCTTCAGTCAGGTCTGTAATTCTCTCTAGATCAAAGAACTGGTTCATGACGTATTATCATCTGTTAGCATAACACTACCCCTCACCTCTGCCTTGTCAGTTCCCTCCCATGGAGTTTAAAATGTTGATGCCGTGAATCATTTCTCCCCCAGACAGAAATAAAAATAAATAATAATGGTACAGGGTGGGTGAACACACTGACCCCCTGGAAGCGTGAAAAGTTTGATGGAGGAGAAAGCACAGAGCCCCTGACAGTGATTGGTGGCACACCATCTTTGGCATAGGGGGAGGGGAAAACTGAGTACCCTGATGTGGCAAAAAAGTGAATGGACCCTGACTTAGCAGAGAGGGGAATGGGGACACACAAAGCCCCAGACATGGGGAAGCTGGAGGGCGCACACAGGCCTTGACATGAGGGAATGAGCAGGCTGTTCCAGGGAGTCCCTGCAGTAAAGAGAATGGGAGGGTGCCATACAGGAAGCTTGTTGAGCAACTTTGTGGGATGATGTGTAAGGAAGGGATGGGCAATTATTTGGGCTGGAGGGCCACTTAGGAAGTTTTAGTGAGCTGTTGCATGCGGGTAAGGGGCTGGGGCTGGGGCAGGGGTGTGATGACCCAACCCTCAACAGCTCACCAAAACTCCTTAAGTGCTAGATTACTGGGGTGGGCAGGGTTTCCATGGAGACTGGCCTGGGATCCCCACAGGCAGGGTGTGCTGCCCTGGCAGATGGGATGCAGTCGTGGGTGGGTGGGGAGTGGCATTTGGGAGCAGGATGGACGGGTGGGGCTGGGCCTGGAATTGCAGAGTGGTGGCAGCATGCAGCCAGGGCCCAGGGCAGAACCACGATCCACTCCCAGCATGGCCACATGCTGCCTCCACCTCACGCTCCCGGCCCTGCCTGGCTCCCTTCCAGATGTGGCTCCCTGCCTGCCTGTGGCCCCATCCCATTCGACCAGCTGAGTTACCTTGCTCATGAGGGTCCTGGGCTAGTCTCCATGGAGACACCACCCAGCCGCCTGCTCTGTCCAGTGCCTTGGGGGTGTGGGTGAGCAGAAGGACTGGTGAGCCTAGGCAGCAGGACCAGGTCCGCTGGTGGTGGCAGAGACTGGCAGCAGCAGCTGGAAGGAGCTGCTCCTGCTGGGGCTGCCAGGAAACAAATCTCGCTGCCACACTGCCCCAGGCCCCCTGCACACCAGTGGGTGGTGGGACTGGCCACGTGCACCAAGGTCCAGGCTGGTCTGGGTGTGGCTGAGGGACCAGATATGTGCTGGACAAAATCTGTTGGGGGCCGGATATGACCGGTGGGCTGTAAGGCACTTAGTATACAGAAGTACCAGAGAATGCAGTCTCCTTGTTGAACTATTTAACAGGCCATGTTAGTTTTAAGGGAGCTAGATCAGGTACTGG